GGAGGAAGTTTAGAAAGAGGCATGAGGCAGATGATGAAGAACGAGAAAAGGGAAATAAAAAAATGAAGACAAAAGTCTTTTATAAATTAGGGTTAAGTTTTATTATATATAAAGTAGTAATTCTACAAAATGATTAAGGATTTTTTTTTGTCTAAAGAATTTTGGTCTATTTCAACCCACATGGAATAGTTAATACCGAAAAATGATCAATAATATCTATTACAACTTCTCCCAAAATGCCCATTTTATAAACCAAACTCAAGTATAAGAGAAAAAAATAAATAAGGAGAAATGGAATACTCATTTTTCGAACTAAATATATAAAAATTCTATTAACGAGTGTTTTAAAAATATTTTTAAAGTAATCATATTGAATAATATTTTCTCTCAATGCATTAAAATTTATCATATTAACTTTTAATTATTTTTTTAATATGAAAATATTATTATAAACAATATTTTAACTAATTTTAAAAAGTGTTAAAGAAAACGTAACACTCAATTGACATTACCAAAAGGTAATATAAAGCCAGACTAATATGTTAAATGGTTTGGGTCGGACCCCATCTATAATAATTCAGTAGATTTTCAATCATAAAGGCCCAAAATGCAAATTTTTGGAAACAATTTCCGTTTCTTTCTCGATTGTTTCTAAAGAACAGAACTAAGAGAAAAGAGAAGGCTACGTTTGCCTGATGTGATCATGTGAAAAAGTGAAACGAAAGCAACAACAAAACACAGGCAGATATGCATCATGGACCATACAAAAAGCAACAAATTCTCATTGGAATACCCTATGGAATTGAGTTCATATTGAAATCAAAAGCGTACAACCCCTTTGATTGAAAACGTGAACAAGAGAATAAACACGCCGCATGTTTGCGCATGGGACTAGGGGTCATGGCAATGAACCAATCAAAGGCTCGGAGGTCTCTCTTCCTTACTTGAAGCAATTGCATCTTCCTGTGTTTTCTATGACGGGACATTTCATAAATTGACAGGGCACAGCGAACTGCAGTTAATTTTAAAATATTCGACAAGTCCACAAACTGAAATAATTTGAATTTGTCATGTTTCTGTTATTATCTATTATTTTGATAAAGGAAAAAAAAAATTACCATTCGACTTTTTGATTTTTTTTTTCATTGCCATTACTTTTATTATAAAGTTAAAAGTTTAACATTCAAACTTTTTTTGATATATTAAATAATTAAAAATTAATTCTCGTGAGTTGATCAAAGAGTTTTTGGTTTTGCTTTGTTTAAGTTTTTCATATTGATTGAAACTTTGAAATATATGATGTACTATTACTATATGTTGACTTTCATCTTCAATTATGTAGGAGTAATTTATGGCGTAACATACAATGACTTGCTTTCTACCTTGGGGGTGTACCGCAGCATCCGAGGCAAGCTCATTCCTTATTTCCTGGAGGCTATGTCCACTATGTGGTTGTGTTTGGACAAGTTCATTGTTAACAATAAGCTCGGAAAAGCAAGTGCATGTCATGGATAAACCCTTTGCTGTCTGTACGTAAGATGTCAATTACAAAAAGTTCTGAATAATTAACTCCCTATCCGGCAAATTAGCAAGTAATTATTAATCCTATACAAGTTACATATCGAGAAGAATCCAATGTTTAGAAACATAAAGACAGGAGGATCCTGCAGAGTGGGTTGATAAAATCAAACTTGAAGTTTGAACAGAAACATAGAAAAGAAGCGCATGCAACGGGCAAACTGACAAACCTAACGCTGATTGGCAGCTTGATATAATGCTAATCATCACATACAACATGCATGTCGTTGATAATGGTCGATAATCTCGGCGACCTGATGATTAATGCGCATAAGCATATGCAAATGAGCATGATTCAGATCCCAATCTGAGAGAGAATTCTTATGTTTTTGTCTCTCTTTTAATTTGGAGACGTCTCAATTCCTCCCATTTTTTTTTTATCATGGGGAAATTGTAAACGGGTAGAATAAGTTCAAAGCGCAAGTAGATCCTGTTGATTTTCATCCGGGTCACAAATCGTGCAAATGATAGGATCTTGTTCCCAATAAATAACCCAAATTGCATTACCATCCAAAACAATTTTCTATTCATTGATTTTGACAAAACCTTGCCCTCATTCAAACCCCTCATTTAATCTCTAAACATGTAGTAGATATTGTTGTAATACGGACAGGGAAAGAAGATATAAAAATACATTCTCTCTATTTCCCTATCACTCACCCCACACATTTTCTTTCTCTTCATTTATTCCTTTGTCGTCGTCTTAAGTAAACTTTTGTTTTCATTCGCTAATCATCTTTCATCTTATCCACAGACAAGTGCTGTTCATTGAGGCTGAGGGAGCAAAACGTCGACAGATCAAATTAAGCAGGCCCTTAATCAACAAACATTAATTGAACACAAATCAGAGACTGAATTCTGCATATGATGACAATGTTTTTCGCATTATTATCTCTCTCATCATTATCATCAACCAGCATATATGGTTCCCGTTTCAATCATTAAAACTTGTTTAAGGAATAAAAACTCTATTAAATGTGTACGTCTTACCTTTTGAAAAATATGGCTTGTGCAAGAATTAGGATAATTATCGATCAATCGTCTCTTTTGCATTTGTTTTGCTCCTTCAATCCAAACAGTTGTGTGTCTTACATGCTAGTGATAATAGAGGATTGATTCCAAATTTATATCACATGACAAAGATCATGAATCATAATTAGAAGAAGAGATATATATCTAATCCAATAAATTTTATTGGTGAAGATTTTTGTATGCATGTTGCAAAACAACAAAAGCAATTTTTGTTCTTCAAAATCACTTAGCCATATTTTCCAGGACATGGTGATTATATTATATGAAACCACATGGGGAGAGTATGGCCGGAACCGGGTGCGATTGAGGGCTAATTTAATATGTTGATGGCTCACATTTTTGGGACATTTAATTTAATTCCATGTGTTGCTCACATGCCTTTGCTCATTCGCCGTCAATTGTCTTTATCAAGGATTTTCTTGAACCCCGGAATTGTTATTCGCCACATAAACATTGTTCCCAGAAAAATCATCTGACGCTAACATCCTCTGTTCGTTTCTCGCATCATTCTTATGATTTTCACTGCTTGTAAAGAACTCAAGATATCTGATTTCGCACTATTAGATTTCGTAACCTAGCTAGCTGTGTGCTAACTATTGTAACCGCAAGTTATAAAGAAATCCCAAAATCATGTAAAAGGCGCATAATTCTTAAGTCCTTAATTTCTAACTATTTTCCAAGTTCAAAAAACAGAAACTTTGCTTTAATATCATATAACCCAGTCTTTGTTTGAGATCACAAGCCCCAACATGCAGTGGAACACCAACCTTGGCTCATGGCCTTTGCATGTGAGGTTGACGTGCAAAAGCTATAAAGTATAGGAATTCAAGGCATTTCAGAAGTTAAAGTAGAAAAAAAAAAAGCCCACCCCTTACACTTTCTTCCCCATCTTAATTCCCGATTGATGTTTAATTTACATACACTGTTTAGGTTAAAAAATTAGTTAACATGTGTAAAAGAGAAAGGTTGTGGCTTTTGCTTAAGTCTTTGCTGCAATAAAAAAGAAAATGCAAAGTTTCCCATATATAAAAAAAATGACTAATCATTGACATGATGACAGGTGAGTACAAAGGCTAGTTTCTGAATAGAAAAAAAAAAAAGTTGAGCAAAGCTGGAAGAAGAGCGTAAGTCAATACATCAAACAGTTGATCAAGAATCTGAACATTAAATTAAATATTGGACTAAACATACAGCCAATGAAGTCTTTATCTCTGACTTACATGCACATTAGCTTTTTCTTTGTTTTTTCTTGTTCAAAATTTGAGTAGAAAATGTTGATAGTTATCGCCACCTGTTGGTCTAGATTCTGGAATAGGAGAGGAAGAGGAGGAGGGGGGTCGCTTTCCTCTGTTATAGGAAATTATTTTTTTAACTTTTTCAAATCTTGTAAAAAAAATAAATAAAGAAAAGGAATTGAATTTGGATAACTTATTTGAACCCTTTGCAACGCTTTTGCACATGTCTATCACTATCAAGGAACTATTTTCTTCAATTAAAAGGATGAAAAGAGCCAAAAAAAAAACAGTTAGTTCAAAGGAAAAGAGCTGTGAATAAATAATTTGTATAGAAACCAACAACTTTCTAGTTGATGCCTGCACGAGAAGACGGATATTGGTGACGAAACCACTCCAATGTATTTGAATTATGCTTACTATCTCTTCTTTCAAATTTAATTTCAAACCAAATCATAATGTCAAATTAAATCTCTTTTTTCTTTTGCTTTATCTTTTAGTTCATAGCCTTGAATTTCATTTAATTACTATACATGGGTAAATGCATTTAATTATGAGATGATATTTGTTCGTTCTCTTTACTTCTTTGACGTTAGTAGTGTTTTCTTTCTTTCTTTCTAATTGTCTTTCGGTAGTTGAATCATTTGTTCTAAAAGATGGACGCAACAACTTTCTAGTTGGTAAGTAAATTTTTAAGGGCCAAATACAGACAAAATCCCTTCACAAATTCATAGCTTCCCTCTCTTAACATGCATTCATTTTCTGGGAAATTACGCACCTAAGCATTAATTTAATTTAATAATACATATATTTAAAGAGTTGAATTATTTTTTTTTTTGTTTAAGAGGATCAAAATATTTGATTAAAAATTTGTTTGTCAACTTCTAAGTTCAGAATATTCTTCATCTTAAAAGTATTCAATTACACACCAAAGCGGCTGTAAAGGCCTAAAGGTCATTTTACGTAAAAATTTTAAAAGAAAGGGATTGATTATACAACACAGATTCAACAGGCGCAGGCCCATTATCTTTTTACAATACCAGGACCCCACACCTAGGCCCAACTCGTGTAACTGCATTTCAAAGAAATTTACAATTCCACCCTTCCCAAGCTCCTTTATAAACGAACCTTCTCTCCCTTTTATTAGCTCACAAGCACCCCTCTTTCTCTTCAAAGCAAAAGCCTACCAAAGTTCCGAAGCTCTTTCAAAATCCTAAACCCCTCCCCCCAAAAGGAGCAATGGCAAAAGGCAGCAGTAAGCTAACGAAGCTCAAGTCAGTTCTCAAGAAGCTAAACTCATTCAACAACAAGCAAAGCCGCCCGACGTCAAGCTCTGTAGTGGCGGCCTCGGACATCGACGACCAGTCATCAGCCAATCTCCAGCCTGTCTACGTGGGAAAATCTCGGAGGCGGTACCTTATTAGCTCCGACATTATCGACAACCCTTTGTTTCGGGAGCTCGCGGAACGGTCGGGCGAGAACGACACCATCAACGTGTCGTGTGAGGTTGTCTTGTTCGAACACTTGCTCTGGATGCTTGAAAACGCTGATCCTCAGCCTGAGTCTTTGGAGGAGCTCGTCGAGTTTTACGCTTGTTAATTTGTATTTTGGAGGAAAGAAATGTTCCCTTGTGGTCATTCACATGGTACCAAAGTTGTACATTATGTAATGATAATAATGTGATTAGGCCGTGTAGCGGAAACCACAAAATGATTGTAGAGGGAAAAAGGGGACAGCGCTGATGAGAGAGAGGCAGTTAATTTCAACGGTGAGGATTTAACCGATTTCACGCCGGCTAGTCTGTAAGCCTGGTGGGTGATTATATTTGTGCATCAATGTTGTTCATTGTCATTTTTTTTATAATTATATATATAAGAGATTAATGTTCATTTATCCTATATGTTCTTAGAAATGTGTCACTTATTTGATCCGTAAGAGAAAGAATGAAGAAGAAGAGGAAGGGAGAGAAGAGATATGGGGTGATGTTGAAATCATAGTCATTCAATCTTGATCTCAAACATGGCCAAAAAGAAGAAGAACAAAAAAAAGAGAAAAGAAAAAAGAAAAAATCTCTGTCTAAACATTAATGATGCTTGAAAAGTATACTACAGCGAAGCTTGGGCTCCGCATCTTTTATGTTTGTCTTCCATATTGTGACAATCCCTATTTATCAAGTGGAAGTACAGCTTGTCAAATGGTAAAAGTGAAGTTTGATGATATAGTTGAAATTAGGCGCTCCTGGGAGAAGCAAAGATTAAAAAGTTTGGAGAAAAGGGCTCCCAGAAAGTTAACAAGTCTATTTGGAACTCAGGATTCAGGAACCTGAAGTACTAAAACCCTTTTTCTTATCTTTTGCAGGTGGAAAGTTTTAAGCCACAGTTGAACTTGTGAGATTAGAAGTACTATGGAGTTCTGTGTTGCATTGCCTGCGGCCTCTGTGAGGTAAAGTTTCGGGCCATTGAAAAAAAAAAAAAAACCAGAGGGCGAAGGGCCCTGCTAAACTAAAAGTAAGCAGCCAATTACTTGAGTCCTGTTTAAGGGGTAGTCTAGGTACGAAAGCCTGTTTAGAGATCTTAAAAGTTGAAGGTAAATAGTAGTACTAATATTTATTGTTGGGCAGAGAGATTAGGGAACAACCTCAAATCATCTGCTCCAATAAGAGTGTTCTTGTCATCAGGGACCAAAATCACTAATCCCCTTGATGGTTTGGTTAAATGTTGTCTTCGCATGTTATTGTATTCAATTTAGTGTATTGATCAAGTAACTTGCTGGCATGGCCCAACCTTGCCGGGAAATTGCCCCGAATAAGCAAATCAAAGCCATGTATTGTGACTTTTCCATTACAAAAAATGCACCAGCGAGGCAGCTGCAAAAAGAGTGTCTATATTCCGAGACAACATAGCCGGAGCCAGGAAGTCGACAGTCTTGTGGGATGACCAACAAGGCAAACAAGACTCCTTTATGTTTTTTAAAAGAAAAAGCTGATTACTCAATCAAATTCACTTATAATATATTCATAAATTTATATTAAGAAATGTATGGTTCAAATTGCTCATAATTGGGTTGTTAAAGATGCTTCCTTTTTTATTTTATTTTGAGATATAGCCACACGCTCTCCTAGCTTTGTTGCTTTTTGTTGGTTAGAAACAAAGATGATGAAGATTTTGGCAAGTGGAAGACACGAAAATGTGTACAGTACACGCATTAGCATCTGGAACGCGTTTGCCTCGCTGCCATGGCCACCCTTAAAGCTGGTGCTTAACTTTTCACACCGGATTGTACGTAACTTCCAAGCTTATCAGCAACCTGACACGTACCACCCATTGAATTTTGCTTCCCACAATCCCTAATTAGCAGCGACTTAATTTTCTAAGATCCCTTATGATTAAGAAATTCAAGATATACATCTTAGATTAAATTCAATCTAATGATTGGAATGTATAAGGAAAATGGGCGGTGCCATGACCTTTTCTCTTGATTAAAGTTGAGATTACTTATAAAGAATTAATGTTTTCGGTTCTCTGATAATTTAGATAAATTATTAAGTCAAATTATGTACACGGTCTTCAGATAATTATCATAAGCAACTTTGGAAAAATGAACATTTAAGAGTCAGTCTAATAATCCTTATCACGAATAAAGCTGATGACAGCTAATCATAGTGATGATTGGAGGCAACTTCTTTTCTTCTTTTTTTATCGTGCGTGAGATGAAGAACTAATCAATCCCCTTTAATTATGTTCTATACTTGTATTTGTTCTAGTTATATGTTGGTGATAAATTTCTTTAGTTAATTTTTTTTTTGTTAATGTTGAAAGTTCTAACTTCCAATTTTCACAACCCTTTGGACTTCCTAATAAGTATATAAAAAAATCTTATAATATTTTTAAGGTTATTTGAATGTGATATTAATTCATACATGATTGACATATAGTGCATATATTAATATATTATGCACATAAAATTGTAACTAAATATAGACTTTTTTATTTTTAAAAAATAAAAATTCATTCAATTTAACTAAACAAAAATAAGTGATTCTATATCACTTCACTCCACATTGACTTGAATTTCATTAATTTATTTTGTACATATAATATTTATTAAAAAATTATAAACTATTTTAAAAATTCATATAATTTATTATTTTTTTATTTCATTCATTTAAGTTTTTATATTTTTATTTTAAATTAAATATGTCCTTATAATTAACAATTAATTAATTTTTATTTAGTCAAAATATAATTTATCATTTTATACTTATATAAAATTGATGTGTAAGGTAAAAATGTCACATGATCATGTAATTATGTTATGTTACCATCTATTATAACATGTCAGTATATTGTATCAATCCAATGTGACGTAAAATGTTTAGATGATATTTTGATTAATAACAAATAATCAACTATTAGTTATAAATATTTTTTAAATTAAAAATAAAAATATAAAAATATAATTAAATATAATAAAAAATAAAAAATTATTAAGATTTTTTAAGCAATTCAAAAAATTTTTATGTTTTATATTTATTTTATTTTATTTTTCTTGTACATTGAACGTATATCTTTGTTTTTGCATAATTAATTGAAATGGGATTATAAAATGACCATCTGTATTCCGTAATCCAAAGGAGGAGCAGTTTGTCATTTTAAATTTTAAATGAAAAGAAAATGTAATTCAACAGGGCTAATTAAATCTATGATCTGGAAAGCTTAGCAAATTACAATTGTAAGCCGCGAAAAGAAAGGGAAAGGAGAGAGTTTTGTCATAAATCATGGGTAAATGAGCTGTCTAGTGCTAATTAGACATAACAAAAAGACGAAATTAACCTTGCAGTAGTTTATTGCGGGTCGCCTGTCAGCACAGAAGAAGACAAAGCTGGCTAGCTACCTTCCATAAGGAGGCGGCCGCTTTTCGCGGCTTTTTAGGGGAAGATGCCGCCAAATTATCTTACGCTCCAACCCTCCGTTCGTTTGCGCAATAACGGCTGCAATATAGGGTATGTTTGTCTTTTCAACATCGGCCACTTGGTCAGCCTGAAGTCAGTCACTCAGTCAGTCAGAAAGCAGCAATAGTATTAGACTAGTAGTAGTAGCGGTAGTAGTAGGAACAATAGGGAGAAATAGAAAGAACGAAATAGAGAGAACAGCCCACGTGGGAGCTGGTCGTGGAAATCGGATTTGGGGTGATCATAGGCCCATGTTACTCGAGGAATTTTTGTCCCCAGGTCTGCATAATAATGCTTTTCGAAGATTGGATTTTCGTGTGATTCGCTTTTCCCACACACACACATGCAGAGGAGAGAGCCAAGGAATAAAAACTTTTTTCTTTCTCAATTATGATATGCAAATAGAAATGATTGTTTCATCTGGTTTGGTACACAAATCTTATTTCTGATCGTTTCTCCAAACATTATATGTACATTGCACCTTCACTAAGATTATTTTTGCATATCAGATGCTGTAACATCTGTCTAATATGATGCCATCATTGTCATTTTGACTTCCACATAATTCTTGGATATCCATCTCTTTTTGCTTTCTCAAGTGTATATGAGTGCTAGTGAAGAATCTATTTGTGTCAATATTTTCTTTTTATTATTAAAATTCCGAAAAAATATATTTAATATAAACCTACTAATCCATGTTAATTACTAAAAGCACACGAATAGTAAAAAAGTGAGTTGATGATGATCCAGAAGGCAATAGACTCTAGGAGTTGAATGATCTCTTATGTTCTTTGAACCATTTTATATTAGTTTTTGTCAATAAGTCGCACCTTGTCCAACGGTTCTAAGCCATTTAGGCATAGTAACCCTTGTTCATGAACCTGGTCTGTTGCTATTTAAATAAACGTACTGAGGATATATGTTGAGAGATAGGAGTACCCACGTTTTTTGTATGAGAACAATCAAGACAAAAAGCAAAGCTCAAGAGGGGAGAAGAGAGAGGTGCACATGAATGGAAACCAAATGATAGTATAGGAATGGGATAAGGGAATTATGTCTACGGTCTACTGCATACATATTTAGGAGACCATGAGGGGGGCCTAGCAAACTGCCACGAAAAGGACAAATCACTGGGAAGAAAAACAAAAAAAAATGCTTCAGTCATATCTATGAGTCCCCATGCCTTCTTTGCAGTCAAAAACACTCAAAATATAGCTAAGAAACCCAGAACATACCCACGTATTTTCGTTTATCTCTGGTTGACATGAAACAACTTGTCTTGATAATGTAAAAGGGCCATGAGGTGCAGAAACAAGAACTCATCAGTTGGATACCATTTTGCACGTTAGAGTGAAGGCATGGATGTATGAGACGTATCAGAAATTTGTATGGCTATCGTTTAGTTAATTTATATGCAGTGCATCAGGTAACTCCCAGTCCTTGCATTCAGGCATGATCTGAGTCATAAAATTTGTTCAAAGGAAATGCTTCTTGTTTGGATCCTTTTCTTTTATCTATAAAAAGGTTCCTATCATTCATGGTTGGCTCAAGAAATAAATTTGTTTGGGGCCAAAATCTCTGCATTCGAGCATAGGTCTCTTTCAAGAAACGTAGTATATTTGCACTCAACAGTGTCCTTGTAGCCACTAGAATCCAAAAGTTCAAAACCAATTAAACGACATGACATGTGAATTGTGATGTCTCAAGTCTAAAAATCCCACTTTCCCACCATCCAAAACTATGGGTTGTATTCATCCTCTCAATAAAAAAAGAAGCAGAAACAAACTAAAAAGGAGTTGAGCTTTTGTCAAAATGCTCTTGAGCAGTGGGTTTCAGTTAAGATAAAGGTCAAATGAAAAAAAAAAGAAAAAAAGCAGGCAGCCATGCCTGTGGAATAAGGAAAAGAGGACCACATTGACGTGGATGATGATAATTAACATCTTGAATGCTGAGCCAGCATTGAATGTAGGAGCAGAGTAGGGAAAAACTAGCCGAGATGATAGCCAAAATATGTAAGGCACGTCCTCTGTTACCTTCTCTGTCGGAATTTCAGTACGTAAAACAATGAGAAAGTGGGGAGAGGCCATTAATTACCCTAACTGTAAGTTCTATTCTAAGTATCATATATATAGTATTGATTGATTGTCCAGTTTTCACTTTGAGTCTCATTTGAAGGATCGCTTTGTACATTAATGTGTTTGATAAAAAAAAAAACTATGATAGTGGGAGAGTTTTCTTTCAATTCAATAATTGAGTTATACATATGGAAATTACTACTACTACTTTTTATTATTGTTCTTATCAAATGTATGGTATCGTTGCTTTGAAATTAGGTAAGAGTTATCGATGCTAAAGAGTTATAAGAGTCCACATATCCGGCTGCTTAAAATGGAAAGTTTTGAATTACTTCTTCTGGGATGAACAAAATGTATGTACTATATGATCCTTGGAGAAACTTGAAGGGAAGTTTGGAGAACTATGAGGAGGGGGCTTGCTTAAAAGCTTGAAAATGCTTTCAGTTGCGTGGAGTTGTTAAGTTAGAAAGTAGCAAAGTTGTTTTGAGTTTTGGCAGCCTGTTGGGTAACATTGTCGTTTTACTTTCTGCGGATGAGACCGAATTAGAGATACTGTGGGATGATTCGACCCTCCATGGTGGGCGCTTGACACTAGGGGGGCTTGGATTTAGAGTCCATGAAATTTCTATGAGTCGGATCTCGGGAGCGCTCAAAAGTGGCTCTGATCTGAAAGCTAAAAAGTGTTCCAAAAACTACCAAAGTATGCCTTAGAAACCTTATAAAATGGACCTCTTTCATCAGGCAATGAAGCCCATTGAAGTACCGAATTGAGGATTATAGGTAAAGAACAGAAGTAGCCTCCTAATACTATTACACTATTTCTTTGGGGTGCTTGCTTTATGAAGATGGGCTTGGAGGGGAAGTGGAAATTGAATTCAGAAACTCTCTGAGACCCATCTCTTTCTTGCTTGGCGAAAGAAACAAGGCCATTTCTTCCTTGCATCCTAAACACTGTCTAGGATGATATGTATTGCAAATCCCTATTTGACTATTAAGGGCATGCATTTCTTCAAAGACTGCTACATTGAAGGCACCGTTGATTTCATCTTTGGAAATGGCAAACCCCTTTATTTGGTAATTACCCCCCTTCCTCCTTTCTAAAGGCCATATATACCGAAAATCATTTTTTCTTGCAAGGATGTGTGTGTATATATGTTTTTGATGCAGAACACCACAATTCAATCTGTTGCAAAGGATCTGGGGGTGATCACAGCACAAGGCAGGGAAGATGCAGGCGACGACAGTATTTTTTCATTCCTTTACTACAAAATAACCGATGCAGGCAACAGTACCTCTGACCTTGTCCGTCCATGGAGGCTAGGGCCTAGGGTCATCTTTGCTTTCACATACATTGGCACCATCATCAACAGCTAAGGCTGGTCCACTGAAGGGCACCCTGATCGCAACCACAACCAGTGCGCATCTGGAGCTCACATATTATTCTCGTACTGCTAAAATTAATGGTTTTGATCATAAAATTAACGCCGGATTACTTTAATCATTTGCAGGACTGTATATTATGGAGAATACAAGTGTATGGGGCCGAGGCTACTTCCTCTGGTCGAGTTGGATATGCAAAGGCGAAGCCCTTCTTAAGCATAACTTATATCCATTGAAGCAATTGGCTTCTCCCACCTCCCAAGCTGTGAAAACTTTACTAAACACAAGGAGCAATTCTGCAAATATATTTGTATATCTGTTGGTGCTGAGAAGGAAGGTGATTAGATGTTTATCAGTTTGTAAGATAATCAAAGTGAGTGTTATAAGAAGAGGACTCTTATGTTATAAAATTGTGTATGTTACGGAAGTAAATGAGATATATGATTAGTCTTATTCATAATCTAATTCTAGTATTGTATAATAATTTTAATTAAATAATTTATATAATTATCTTATTAGTAAGAAATTATAATGTAATAAATATTCTTTTTACTCGAGATTCGGGTGCGTCTGCAGTTAGTACCAATCCTGGTTGCAAGTGCAAAATTATCACCAAAGGTAAAAACGAAACGATATGATGAGAGAAATTAATATAAACCATACTTTATTGCAATCCTTGGAACCAAACCCAGGTTCAAAACATTCCCAAGGATAATAAGGGAGTAAATTAAAGGTGGGACAAAACCCGGGTTCAAAACAATTGCGAGATAAAAAAGAAACGAAGGAAATATCAAATTTCAATAGCCATTCCAAAACCTCATTTGGTCCAGCCTTGTGCCTCCTCATCGCCATTTTCTTTACTCAACAGCTAGAGGAACAGTCATAACCTGAAAATTACATAAGAATAAGATCACTCGTCAGAAACGCTCTTATTCAGTTGAACAAATCCTTAACGAGAAGTTCAAACATATGGACATGAATGTTTACCCGCTTGTTATACATCAGTGCATGCAACATTTCAATGTAACGCTTGCGCCCACGTTGCTCGAGGTTACAAACATGTTTCGAAAAACCATAGACTCCAGTCAGAGTCAATAGCTTCTCAGAGTAAATCTGCCATGTATACCTACAAAGCACAGCAAATGAGTAATGGGTGCTTTCATAAGAAAAACATATCACAATGAGTTAAAAATAGAGGCTTTCTGCTTACTTCTCCTGGATGCGCTTCAAGCCTCCCTGGGAGATCTTATCCCAATAAGATGGATCTGCCTTGCACTTTTCAAAGAAATGGACGAGGGTCTCGGCAGCCAGATCGCCATTATAAGGATCAATGTTGAAGCCGGATTTGCCGTGAACAATAATCTCAGCAGGGCCTCCATAGCAAGTTGCAAATGTTGGTAGGCCACAGGTCATGGCCTCAACAACAGTCAAGCCAAAGGCCTCATACAGAGCAGGCTGAACAAATGCTCCCTTTGTGTCACAAATGTAACGATAGAGTTCACCGTTTCTCACTCTGTTCATCTGGGAAGAAATCCATCTGAACTGGCCATTCAACTTGTATTTTTCAATTAGTTCATACATCCTCTGCATTTCGGCCTTCTCTTCCAAATCCTTGGATTCCTTTCTCCTATCTCCACCAACTACTACCAAGTTAACCAACTCACGCAGCTGGCTGTTCTTGGCATAGAACTCTACAAGTCCAGTTAAGTTCTTTACTCGATCCAACCTTGCCATGGTAAACAGAATTGGCTTATTGCGATCTTTCAGTATGCATCTGCAAAATAACATAAGTAATTATTAACATAGTCTTATCATTTAGTGAAAGTTAAATGGTGTAAAACAGGATAGAAACTCACAGGTGCTCTGCATTCTCAACAGGGCTGTAAAGAAGCTCTTCAATCTCTGGGTGGAACTTCTTCAACCGCCGTTTCTCTTCTGTGTAAGGGAAGTATATGCTCATATCAGCACCAGGGGAGACAATGTTGAACTTAGGATCAAACACATCAATCCCATCAACAACACGGTAGAGCCCAGGAAGAGTGAAGGCAATGTGACTCTCGTATTGACCAAGAGTGTCCTTGCTGAAATCATGGGAATGGCAACATTGTTAGGCTTTCCAATAAGTAGCAGCATTACACAAGGCAATCCTACATATAAAACTTGAAGATATATTACCTTCCAGCAATCTCTTGGAAGGTGCTAGTGATGATAAAATCAGTATGGTTCATAGCAATAAGGTCAGCAGTAAACTGACAGGAGAAGTGATACTTATCCTCAAGCTTTCTCCAGTTGATGTCTGAATCTGGGTACTTCGTCTTCTCCAGAGCATGAGCAATGGTGCACTGCATAAAACAGCCAAGACAAGTTTTTAGAATGAAAGAGAAAGATCCAAGTACAGCAAAAAGACATAGTCAATTAATTAGCTTTTAACAAACCTGTGTAACATCAAACTTATGTGCCAACAAAGAGGCAACGATATTTCCATCACTGTAATTCCCAATAATCAGATCTGGCTTGCCCTGAAACTCTTTGGATATTTCAAGTGCAACATCCTGAAAGCAAAGAGAAACTTGTAAGAAAAAAAAACCCAAATAGTAGAAATGCATATAAGAGAAAAGTTAACATATGGCAGAAAAATGAACACAAGAAGATGGATGTTCAGGGCATATGGTTCACCTCTGTGTAAGTCTCCAGGTAGGGCCAGACTTCAAATCTTGAGATCCATCTACGTACAATTCCCTGCTCTGTTCTGAACGGAACTCGAAGAATATCAGAATACTTGGTTCCATACACTTTCTCAAGACGCTGACCACAAGTTGTTCCCACGGCATCAGGGAGGAGTCGAGTAATCTGGTCGAAAAAACAGTCAAATTAAGCATCAAACATAGAGCTAAAATTATTTCAGATAAAAAAAGGAATCACAACTAACTGATATAACATAAGAATACTCACGATAAGGATGCGTGGGGTAATGTTAAGTCCTTGCTGCTTGAAACGGTGGAGCATCTCTTCCTCCAAGGCACGGACTTGATCCAAGATGTAAACAACCTATGAGTAAAAGTTATTGGATTAAAATTAGAAAAACTTTGATTGCATCATCTACAACTTAAATCAGGAGAGTTAAAAGTTTAGGCTTGCAAAAACCGACCTGGCCACCTGTGTCAGGGTATCCCAAAACATTGTCTTGGGCAAAGTATCCATGAGGAGTCATGATCACAACATTGAAGACCAATGGGATTCTTCCAAGGAAAGTTTCAAGAGTGACGGGATCAGGTGCCTGCAGGAGATCCAGAAGAAGATGGATCATCTCTAAAACATGCTCAGCAGTATCACCCCATCCCCTCTCCAAACCAATCTCCTGGAACTTTTTCTCAAAAGCCGAGTATGGGGTATCAGATGGTAGAGGAGTCAGATACTCCTCTGCCTTCCTCAGAGCATGTTGGAGGGAATTCACACCTTGAATTCTGTCATTCAGCAGCATACCCTGTGGCATGAAAATTGTGCAATTTATTACAAAAAATCTGTTAGCTTCAACGGAAGGGAAATTAAAAAGATGTATGTACATTTAGCATGGCGCTACCTTTCCCTTCTGGCAATGAATCTGGAGAAATTCAAGCAATAAGTTCAAATTCTCCTTGTCTTGGAACAGTTTGGCAGAAAGGTGGCGATTGAGGAAATCCACACCGTTCCCAATGGACTTAGAAAGCGATGGGCGAGGAATAGAATTATTGAACGCGCCGAAGTCCAATTCCAGCGTAAACTCGCCATTGGAGCTGAATCCCATCATTGAACATCGTTTAGGTATAAACTCGGTATAACGTGAAGAATAAGAAAATCAGGAGCTGTAAACTACCTTCCATCAACGATTTCCTCCTTCAACCGCAGATACTCAGCAACTTGCATTTCCTCTACGAAGAGCTTCCGGACATCAATAGCTATGTACTCCCAAACACCAGGAGCTGGACGAATGGCAAGGGCAACCAGTGGAGACGACAATACAGCTTCCTGTACAACAATATTAGATAACCGAGACATATTAGTCCAATATTCTCATCAAACATCTTAGTCAAGAATCCAACAAACATAACCAAGATAACTTTGGAAAAAAAAAAAGGTAAAAAAAGGTGATCTAATCCCACCTGTGTAGTCCTGAGGACATCGACAATTATCCCATCAAGTGCTTGTTGTCCATCCTCCTTATCAAGAATTGATAGCAGCTTTTGGGATTTATGAATGCCCCGCCCGAGGCTTTCAATCCTGCATGATTTGTACAACAATAAAGTCAAACTAATGAACAACTACTAGTAGTTTTTATCGTACTGAAACAGAAAGATCAGGGAAGCAGATGCTTGATATACCTTGACAAGATAGCCTTTGCCTGCTCCGGATGAGTAGCCAGAGATTCACCCAAATGTTCACAAACGCTTCCTGAAGCCATTGTTTCTGCTGAATTCGCAGGGGAAGGAATATACTAAGAATTAGGCTATGGATAAAGTCAGAACATGCAACATATATATGATGAGACGATAGAATAGATCAATTTAAAGGGCAAGTTGTAGCAGTAGGACCCAAAAAGTTAGACGCAACCAAATGCAGATACCTAATTGCTGCATTAAATTAGAGAATTAAAAGCAAATGGGTGGAAGCTAGATCAAAAATAAAGAGTAAACACATAGTTAAGAATTTTGAGGCTCTTAGAAGATTCAAATAATAATAATAATAATAACAACAATAAAGCAAAGAAGTTTGCAAAATACTCAAACAAGTGACTTGTTAATTACAAAAGGAGAGAACCAAAAGTACCTAATTGGAGGGTGAAGAACTACCTAAAGCCAAAAAAAAAAAATAAAAATCTCTGAAAGACAAAAGATGAGTAACAGAGAAGAAGAGAGATTAATGGGAGAAGTGAGGTCCAAGGCAGCTGCATTGCATTGAATATATAGAGAGTGACTACAGAACTAAAAAAGGCAACCCCCTAAATGCTAAGAACTAACTCTACCAACATATGGAAATAAAATCATAACTTCAATGAAAGAAATAACATATTTTCTGCCCAAGAAATTGCCATAAAAATGAGTAAAGATGTAGAAAAATCAGGTAAAGAAAATGAAGAAGAAACTTAATGAGCAAGTTCATATGTTGTACCCAAAAGATTAGACTGCATTATTAACTTACTACAATTGGAGGGAACAAAAAGGCATAACCCTTCTGCTTCTGTTGACAGTAATCTTAAAACCGGGGCGTTAGGCACAAGCGACCTTACATTTTTGGTCTCAATTCAACCAAGGATTACTCTGTCTTGGAGTTTGAGGTTTGTTACATTCAATTCCACAGGCCAATGTTTTTTTTTTGTTGGTTTTCCCCTTATTTTGATCAAGAAGCCTTTTTTTGGGAAGAGGGCTACCTAGCTTGGTTCAAACTTGGTTTGGTTCTTGGTTACATTAAACCAGATCTTATTGGCTATGAAGCTTTAATAATTTCACAACCACCTTTTCACTTGCATTCTTTTAAGAAACCAAGGTCACAGCTTTCAATTCATTTGTTCCGTTTAAGCCATTAAATATAAAAAATAATTATTAATAATTGAATGTAAACATCCGTTAAGATTAATGTAAAAGGTACGGGTACTGTCCCTGACTCCTTGAGTGAAAATTTGGAGCTGCCACTTTGTTTTTATATACCAGAACCAAGCATCAATCTTTAAGATTACCGAGTCTCGTCTTTGACGCCAAAAGTTGAATTAGTGATTTAACCACCAGAGTTTGAAAAGAATCGAAGTTTTTCAATTTGACTCGGATAACCGAGACTCTACTATTTCATTTTGACTCAATTAATTTGGTTAGCTTCTCAAAATTAAATGGCACGTCTCACTTCTACTTAAAATATCACGCAATCATGAGGAACTATATGTCCTATGATGTGACTCATGCATCTATAAAAAAAAAAGAAAAAGACACAAGTAGACTAATAATCTTAACGTGATTTATTGACCATTCAATGATGCAAACAACATTCAACTATTTAAAATAAAATATAAAAATTAAATCAAGGAAATTAATTATGCATCAGAAAAAGTATTATCATACATATCCTATAATGTTACAAAAATGACCCTACACATTAAACGCTACCTGCCATGCTTCATGGTGAAAATCCATAACATATATAGAAGGATCAAAGTTGCTTTTAGGATTGGTCATGTCGTGATCTTCTTTGGGTGACATGTGACGGGTTGTGGAAGGAAACTGATTTAATAATAGTAGTTAAGATGAATAAAATAAAAAAAATTGATAATCAATAGAAATTTAAAAGATCATTTAAATATATAAAGATTTAAAAGACCACTTGAATGTAAATACAAAAGAAGCTAAAAAGTTCTTTAAATTTCTTAATCTTAAGAATCAAGACAATGGTGATTTTGATAATTTCTTTCATGGTGGAAAAAAACTTTTATTACAATTACATTTGATAACATTCATGATTTTCTCTTCAAACACATCAGCAACCAGTGTCTTATTCATGTCCTCGTTAACTAAGCTAGGAACAGGTCTAGAACAAATCCCCAATCTCTATCACTGTTAAAAGGAAAATAAATCGTTGTAAAATGCCTCAAATTTTTCAATAATGCTTCAGTCTAGAGTTAAGACTGTTACGATTTTCCAATGGAAGATTCCGTTTACAGTGATTGCTTCTTTCTGTTTTTATTCTTTTTCTATAGGAATGAGGAGATTGTGGACGATGGGTGAAGATGTGATTTCATGAAATGAGGAATAGCCCATGGGAGAGAGAGATTTGGACAAGCCCACATCATCTGAAGCCATAAGCTAGAGTGGACTTCACAACTTTGTCTATGGACATTTTGAAAGTTTTCTCAATACTCAACGTCACAACTACTTTTATAAATCAATAAACCTCTCTCTCTCTCTCTCTCTCTCTCTCTCTCTTTTAAAAAATATTTATAAAATGAATAATAGTCCACATATAATTAATCCATTATTTTGTTTGAATGTAGTAAAAATGGTGCCTTCAATAGAAAATTTTTTCATAAATTATTATTTTGATTAATATTAACTAATGTTTTATTCGAAGGAAAAGAAATCTGAATTTTACTATTTATTCTTTGAACAGAAAAATTATTCACTAATCACTGAATCAAATGCTCCACGGTCATTACAAAGATTGATACGCTCATGCTAAATACTATTAATTCCCCCAGTGAAACATAGAAGTGCATACGGTTAGAGAGTTTAGCCCTTAGAAAATAATCATGTGCATACATGCCATAAATTCTGGTACTGCTACTATCCAACATCCTGGTGAACAAAGGAATTGAAATATGAAAACAATCTTTGATCGCACATTGGTGTCCTAATCTTGTGGATCATGTGCAATTTTAAGAAAGAGAGCTGCAAAACTACACAATAATCTTTCATGGCTTAACGGGGACAGCTCAAGTATAAGATTTGGTTTGATGCTACTCTATCAAAGGCGCACATGACACTCCAATAATAAACAATCACTTGCACCCGTACAAAACTGATACTATTCTCCCACCTACACCTTAGTAGCATGTGCATAAACAAGGAAAACAAGTTCTAATGTCAAATTGTCCACCCAAAGGCTCCTAATATTAAATTTAGCCTTACAACATTATGCTCAAAATACAGTTTATCTCATCCGGCATTATAGACAAGACTTGGAACAGATGCATGAAGGCGGTGAGCCTGGTAACCATCTGTTTCTTGTGAATTTAACAAGTTTTTTGGCTCAACTAAGCAATGGGAGAGAAATAAGTGAACTGGGTGCAGCAGCATACGGGATAAATCTATTAATTCGAGATGGAATTCCTAGAACTCTAATTTGGGACCAATTTTATGTTGCATGGTTTTCTGAACAATAGAAGTATTTCATTATCAATCAAACATTAGATGCCACTCACATTTCAATAAGGGTAGAGAGACATTGCCTTCCCCTCATCACATTCATTGCATACACCTGAAAATTTTCTAACTAAAAGTTTCCTATTGTTTGTCAATTAAAAAGGAGAAAAGAAATGAAAAAAAAAAAAAGAAGAAGAAAATCTGCATATAAAAGAGACCTTGCTTTAAACCCAAAGTTCTTGACCACAATAAAGATCAGCACAATTACTCTCTCCCAATATTTATTGCATCTCCAGCTGCAAAATCATGTACAAACTTCATATTAGGGAAAAGTTAGAGAAGATGGAAGATGAGCAATGAACTTGTTCCGTGAGCATGTGAGATAGGCATACAAAGGTAAATGCATTTAGCTAAAAACAAAAAAGACCTGTTCAGAATCAGAGCTGTCAATAGGGTGACCCTTATGATTGTTCTCTATGCACTTCAATAGATACTTGAAGGTCTCAATCTCACAAGGGAGAGTAAGCCCGCCATTGTGATCATACCCAAATTCCTCCTCAGCTTTTTCCAGCAAAATCTTGAAGACAGGATGGCTGAGATAGCTCGTAGGGATGATAAACCTCCGAAGCTCTGGCCCAACATAAACTGCCAAATATCCCTTTGGAACATCAGGCGGTGGTTCAGGACTGTGGCAGCTTTCCTCATCAGAATCGCAACACACAACATTTGTTAGCCTTTTGTTAACTGGTCCTGAGACACCCCCCTGATTTTCTTCCAACTGGGGGGTATTTGGCCTTGAGCCTAGCGTGACAGTTTGCCACTTTTGAAGGATTTCCTTTAGTCTAACAATCTGCCGGATTCCGGTCAACTTGCTTCCACCTTGGTCATCCATTGTTAAATCTTCACCACAATGGTGAAAAGAAACCCAGGATTGAATTTGCAGGGTTTGGATCTTCCAGTACATGTGCATACACAAATGTCCATGATTAAAGCAAATGAACCAACACCTTTAAAAGAAATTGGATAAAGTCATGCATAAGGGGCACGCAAAATTCAACATAATTATTGTTTCCTTCACCTAGACCAAACTAACAGATTTCCATACTCATAATATGACAATTAAGCTGACAATGACATACTTATCATCACTATCATAACATTGGCCTGCTAGGAATGATTATGCTTTTACACCCTCTCTTTCAGAAGCTGATGCAATCGACACAATTAAATATTCTTTTATCAAATACAAATCAAGCTAATTGACTTAAGAAGATCCCAAAACAAAAATAAGAATTGTTAGCTTTTAAGCTTATTTGAGCTATACTCAGATAACAAAATTTTATATACAGGCTTCAATTTTAACACTCTAGATCTGCAAAATTAAAGCTAGCGTAATTTTCAATAATTCAAGCTTGATGGCCATCTAGCAATGAAAAATCCCAGTCAAATTAACTTTTTTTTTCCAATTACTAAAATGTTTAAATCTACCCCAGAAAAGTCCAATCCAAAATTCTGCTATTTCGGACCAACCACTTACTGAAACCTTAAACCATGTAAGAGAAAAAAAAAAACCCATTATCAACAATGAAACATCAAGACAAAACTGTCTCTTTCACATAAATTCTCCTCTTCCAACCCAGCTTTCATTACTCACAAAACCATACAAAAAAAAAAAGAAAAAAACAATCTTAAGCAAAACAGAACATGCAAAAAGTTTACAAAGAAAAAAGCTTATACCTGAATATGGGGGAGGCGTTAGCAGAGACGCCGAAGAAGAAAAGCCATGCAAAGGAGGAAGGAAAAGAGGCTTGGAGGAAACTTGGGAATGGCAAAGCAAAGCTCTCCAACGAAAGAAATTGAAAGAGACCAAAAAAAAAAAAAAAAAAGGATTCCAAAAAAAGGAAAACCAAGAGGATCCCGAAAAGACTAAATCTATGTTAGAGAAATCCAAGTTGGTGGTGTCTATGGCTTTTTTTTTTTTCCGGATTTTTCAACTGTTATGACTACGAATTTGTCGTGTCATTGATTGTCGCAGCAAAATTTTCTTTGGGTAAAGCGACTGTGTCGGAGGATGGAGTTTTCTCCCTTTTTTTTCTGTTATACTTTTTCCTCTCAGAGTCTCTCCGTGCCCTCTATTTATATCTCCGCTGCTCAAACCTCATCAATGGTTCTTGGATTTTGGCTGGCTGGCTGGCTCCAAAACCAAATTACTTATTATTATCTTTAATTAATAAAAACAAAAGAAAGAAAAAGAGATGGATTTTGTTTTTGCTTAATTGCGTGGAGTGAGGGAGAGATCTGAAAAGATTAAAAGAAAAAGAAAAGACGCAGTTATAGCGGTGGATTAGCTCCACTTTTGATGACGTGTCACCACAACTACGCCAACTTTGCTTTCATTTGGTTGCCTTTTAGCTTTGGATGCACGTGCTTCGCTCAATCTCCGTAGGCCCTCAAGAGGGATTAACGTTTTACGTTGAAATTTATTGATTTCAAGTCTGAATTTTGTTAATTAAGTGAAGAATAGAAGAAGGGGGTGGTTCGCTTGCATGTGTTGTCTAACAAATTTGCGTAGTTGTGATTACAGGTCTCACATGGGCCGTGGCATAAGAGAAATCATATGCCACAACCACAAACAACTGGATTGGGTTTATCAAGCCTTTTTGTTTAAAAAAATAAATAAATTCGCTTTCAACTTTCATAATTCATTAATAGAAAAATTAGTCAAATTTCTTTTTTTATTTCCTTTCTTAACTTAGACAAGGACGACTCCATAATCTTTAAAAACTTAAAATTAAATATTTAAATTAGGCAATTTTTTATTTTTACATTAGCTACTTACTTGTTGGTTAAAGAATATTTGTTACTTCTCAAAAAAATAAATATCTGTTAATAGATCAAAAATTTTGGTGTAAAAAGCCTTTATTATCAACAACCTTCAAAGTTGATTGTTTCCCTGGGGAGAAGGCAAGGCAGTGACTTAGTAGTACTTTTAAGCAGGGCTGGCCTTTTGACCCTAAAAAGTGGCAAATGCCTATGCCTATCAAAGTTGGTCAGATGCTCACGGGCATTTTAGCTGTCGGCCTTTGACAAATTTTTAATTTAATAAGGATTATTTTCCGATGGAACCCAACGTGGGGATGTAGCTCACATGGTAGAGCGCTCGCTTTGCATGCGAGAGGCACGGGGTTCGATCCCCCGCATCTCCATAATCTCTCTCTCTCGGTTTTTTTTTTTTGTTTTTATAATCCCGTATCAAAGTTGGGTTTGGTCTCGAGCAGTCTCCTAAGTCCCCTACATTTCTTCCTCAAAACACTTCTTCTCTCTCTGCGGCGTATATTATTCAAAAGACGCTTATTAGGCCTCAAAATTCATCTAACCTCACGCCAACTGCCTTCGTTGGCGGCGACCCTTTTCTTTCAAACACTTCAAGTTGGGGCTCTCGTCTTAAAATCTAACAGCACCGATTGGACCCGACCCGTTCCCAATCCCCTCCGTTCATCGCGTTGCAAAAGGTATATATTTTTATTATTATTATTATTTCAAAGTTTGTCACTTGCTCACTTTATATTGTCGTTATTTCACATTCCGGAGATTAAATATTTGTCTAAATCAGTAAGCAGCAGCATAGCTGAATACCCAGTTGAACTTTATTTATTAATTCGCTTTTGGAGCAAGCCCTTTCGGAATTTGATATGTTTGTTGAAGACTTGTAGTTTAAGTTCTAAGGCATATCTTCTTTTCCCCTTTAAACAGGGGTTGTTTTTCTGCCTCAAATTATGCTAGTTTCTAGGCTTTCTAGACTTGGATTTCGTGTTGCCAAAGAGCTTTCACGAGGTATGCGTCTATTTTCAATTTTGGGTTACTTTGCTATGTTTTGCTTTGTATGAACTAATATATTTTACAGATTCTTAATAATGCATGATTTGTATGATATGATCTTTATCTACTAACTTTACTTCAAATTGCATTCTTTTTGACAGGCGGATATACGTACACATCTAGAACAAGATATAGACAAAGGCCTTGCGGGCGATACCAGCGCTCCCTGGTCAGTGATGTTTATTTTCGTATATTTCATTTTCTATCTCTTTTGAGTCACTGAGAGAAAGTAGCCTAAGGCATGGGCGGTGGTTAACCCTCACATTTGGTTGTTCTTGGCATAGTTCTATGTTAATCTCGTGCTTATGATATGCATTACTCTGTATGGAATGGTGGAGTTTAATTGAATGCAACTGGAAAAGATAGCAGTTTATGGAGAAGTTTTAGTTGTGATAAGGAAAGATATTAGTCTCTTTATCAGCAGTTAGCTATGTTACCCAATATTAGGTGAAACATCTAGACTAGTCAATGAGATAGTGATATGATTAATCCTTTCCCTGCTTTTTATTAGGGTGATTCTGCTGCGGACAGTAATGACCTCTTATCATATCTACAGAAAGAACATAGTGTTGCAGTTGTTTTGTTTACTTAGGGAATGGAATAATTTGATAAATGTTACTTATACTGACAACTTTGGGATCTGTAGAGGTATAGGAAATATGACTAAAACTTGGATGAAAGTTGTGTGAGAAAATATGATAAGCACACAAGCAAACGTTTGATGAGTTCTGAATGGTAATAAGTTGGAGGCAACAATAGTTGCCAGAATAATTAGAAAACAACTTTAGATAAATTGAGGTTGGTATTGGTATAAACATTGAAGCACGATATACGTATAGACTTATAGTTGATATTACACTGGACAGAATTGAAGAAACAGATTTCAGTTTTTACTATTTATCCAAAACAGAAAAAATGGTTATGTTTTGAGCTAATTATAAGCTTATTTTCCCATTATCTTTTTCTCTTTTTTCAATTTTTTTGGACAGCTTGAATTACTGCCAGAAACTAGAGCCTTTCAAGGTGCCATATTTCAAAAGCATCATGATTTTTCTACATCAGCTTCCAACAATGCTTCTGAGGGAGGGGATGAACAGAAAGAAACGTGAGTTCTTTAAATAAAATTGTAACAGCATGGTGTTAATGACTGTTGGATGAAGTTGCACATCTTTTACTTAGTCCTAACCTTCTTGCATTGGTGAATTATTTAGATTATCAAATCCTCAACTCTCTTTTTTTTTTTTTAGTACACCGACGCACACAAAAATATGAAAGAAGAAATACACAAACCTAATTTTGATTTAGAACTTCTTGGAGAGATGATGATGCATGCTTCAGTGTCAGTTAAAGTTATTCTAAACTGATTCTCCTAGGAAAAGCATTTCTTTGGCAAGACTCGATATTGTTTTCACATATTTTAACATGCTTCAAGCAAGCTTGAATGTTGGTGGTCAATTAATGTCTCAGCTGAGCTATGCATAGGGTAGCATCCACCGCACCAGCACGTTTTAACAGAAGGACTTGTATCTGTGTATGCATCTGCCTTTAATTAGTTCTGGATTTTGTGGGTGTGGTTTTCTGGATACTCTCCATCTCTGCACTGTGTGGCTCTCACACTTTTAATAGGTGGCAGATGCAGATTGCAATTTATGGCATTCAATGACTTTGAAAAGCATGGATTTTACATGCCCCAGCACTGTTCTTTAAACACATAATGGCTTTATACGTATAATTTAAAATTGATTTTTGTTGTCATTTTGATCACACTATATTGTCGTCTGTGGCAGGATATCTGTCACATTTGTTTTAAAGGATGGAGAAGAAATGCATGTTCGGGTGCCTATTGGAATGTCTATTCTGGAAGCAGCCCATGAAAATGATATAGAACTAGAAGGCAAGGAACATGATTCATTGTTCGTCCAATAATTGTGTAGCGCTCCTTGGATCCAAAATCTTCTTGGACTAATTCATATACTCAAAGTTCTTTTATAATGATATATCTGTCTTAAACACATTCTGCTCACATGAAGGATGCTTTAGCAATAACATAGAACATAATGTGATTTTAGAACCTCCTTTTTTTTTTTTGTGATACAAATTCAGTTTACATGTTTTGGTAACACAAACAGATGGGTTAATTACTTGGGCCAATTAATTTATAGTTCATTGCTGAAATTTAATGTTTGCTTGTACTGTTGTTTCAGGAGCATGTGAGGGTTCACTTGCTTGTTCGACTTGCCATGTCATAGTGATGGTATGTTAATAGCGTTATATGTTATCAAAAATGCTGTTTACTGGTTTATGGTAATTTCAAATATTCTTTTAACCGAGTTATTAGGGACTAAGTGTTGACCCTTTTGCTAGGACATGGAGCAGTATAATAAATTAGAAGATCCAACTGATGAGGAGAATGATATGTTGGACCTGGCATTTGGGCTTACAGAAACGTGAGTCCTTACATTTTATATCCGCTAGACAAATTTTTTTGCATTTTAATCTAAATGGATTGTCACGTTTTTTAACTTTTCAGGTCTCGGCTGGGTTGTCAAATAATTGCCAGGCCGGAACTCGATGGAATTCGTTTAGCAATCCCTGCTGCCACTCGAAACTTTGCTGTTGATGGGTATGTTCCAAAACCCCACTAGAACGATACTACACCAAACCCTGTTTCATTGAGCGAAGAGGATCCAGTCATCCAGTTTTGTAGCTTCTCTATTGTGTTGGATCGACGAGCATCTATTATCCTCAAGTGATTTTTTTGTATTAATTATTACTTAATAAATTCCCAATAATCCCTTTGTGAAGTTGATTCTATAGATCAAATAATATTAAGGTTCCATTGACCACACTTTGTTCCATATTTTTATGAATACAGACACGGAAAACTCGAGATTAATGTCAGTCTGACAGGTCCTACGCAACTATAACTATGTGGTGGCAGCTGATAAATTATAATTGAAGTATGGTTAATCTTCTGAAAATCATGACTGATGTATTAAAGTTCATGAGTTCAATCCGGTGTCCTAGTTTCTGCCTTAAACTGATGTTCTGGTTGGTAGTGCCCCGGGACATTAGGCCTCTAGAAGTTTTAAGTCTGTGGTATGAGCTAAATGCTAGCTAATTCTATATTGCTTAATTGTTTGGCAAGTTTAGATTGAAACATAGAAACAAATGGGTTGGGTATTGAGAAACAAATGAAGCACTGGGAGTCGGTGCATGCACCTCTCAGGCAATTTTACTTCATGGTGAAGAGTTTGATGAAAAAGAGTGTGCGATAAACGCATGTCATACAGTAGATGTTGGGCAGATCTGGTGTTGCTGTCGTTTGATAGCCTGCTTGGATCCCTTGTCGGGCCCCCTAAATGCATCATTATCTAAATCCAATTTGATGGACTGCAATGTGATTGACATATTCCCTTGTGATTTCTAGTTTGATTGGTAGGTTCCACCTAAATGGGCCGATTGCTCCTTAAGAAATCTCGCCTTTGTTAATAACTATCAGTTGGTACGGAGTAGTACAAATAAAGGGGTTTGTAAAATTGTTTACCTAAAAACCTGAAACCTTATTCTCGAAGATGGAATTATTTCTTTGCAGAAAATTTTACATTGTAAAATGTTTCTAGTCTATTGACTGTTGAGCATCTGAGAATGAGCATTGGAATTTGTTGTGCAATGATCATCCTATCCGTAAACTGGCTAATGTGAATTGGGAACTGAGTTGTTGCACTGCCATTTGCTATTTGACTCTTTCCTTGTATTTATTGGTGGCATCAGGGGGCTCTCATCATTTAGATTTCGATGTTGTCATTCCTTTGTTTTGCTGCCTCCAAGGAATAGACCCTTGAATGATTATTGCGTCACTGAATTTAACAAATAGAATCTACTGAGCTTCCCCAAGACACATTTAAACCCTGTTTGCCTTTTTTTTTTTTTAATTTGTGAATATATTCAAGAATTTGATTGAATAGTAAATGCATAATACCTATTCCAATCTCCTTGTGTAAATAAAGACACAAATTTGTAACGAATTGAAACGAAAAGTTAAGGAAATTAAAAAACTGAGAAAAGATAAAGAAATGTTCCAACTCATCCATCCATTAGTACAGTAGTATTATTAATTTTCTTTTGCTTCAGCTTCATTGGTTTTTTAACAGAATAGTGTACAAAAGTCAAAGGGAGTTAGTTGAGTTTTGCCTTTCAATAATGGAATCGCCACGCTCTTTCTGTATAGGAAACGACAAAGGTGCCCGTCGGCTGTGGCTTTCAGGTAACGCAAGAGTTTAGAGCCTGGGCAACTATCGGAAAGGGGGAGGGGAAAGAAAAAAAAAAGTTGGTAAATAGAAACTAGAAAGAACCACAAACTACAGGGAAAGATACCAAATCCCAACCAATTTGCTATTAATTTCTCTTTTCAATTTTCCTTTTGTAACAACACCAATTGTCAAATGTTGAACCCAATCACCAGAAAATAAGCACTTAGGCAAAGGATACTTATGACTTATGGGTTGAATAATTAAAGAGAGCAAGGTAATAAGTCACTTAATAATTTATTACCTTTTGCTAAGGTCTGTGAATATGCATAACTGAAAAAGGAACGTCAAATGAGAGCATAGAACTACTTTTTCTGTAATTGTCAATTTAAAGAGACTTATGTTATAACAGTGACTGCAGTGGTAACATTTATATATGATGCAGATGCTGAACTCCTGTTAAACCCATCATAAAACTATCACTACTTAGGCTAATTCAATTTAAATGTTTCTTAATCTAGAACCGAGACGCGTGAATTTTACATCTCAACTACTGTATGATGAAGCAAACTGCATGATGCCATTTGTACTAGATGCACCTTTGATCTATCTACATATCAAGTTTTTGTACTTTTGTTTTCCCCTTTAGAGAGTACATATTTTTTTTCTAACTTATTATTTAAGCAAGCCGTACAGGGACGTGGACAACATCCAATTTCGCTTTCACTTTAACTTCCAAATTCAGAATTTTTTCTTTTTTGGTATATGCAATTATGGATATTGTGAAAACACGTTCTGAGGTAAAAGAGGCCAATATCCGTAAGACAGATTAACATAGGAAATATTTTACTGTAAAACATGTAGTATTTCTGAGATATATCAAGCAGCTAGCAGAAGAATCAAAGGGTTTGAACAAAGAGGTCAGATTCTGCTAGATAGGCATGAAAATACTATGTAATTGATATGACTACTCAACTTCCAGTGCAAATGCAACAAGCCGTAGCTTGAACACACATTGAATGCAACAACCATTAATTCAACACAAAAAAAAAAAGGAACTGCAAAATTCACACGATTTAATGATGCTGCAGTGAAGGCAAAGTACGTGAAATGAATTGTGGGTGCAGCAAAAGAACTCAAGCATGGAACTTTTCTTTTTGAACGTTAAAGTTGTAAAGTACACAATTATAGATAAGAAGAGGGCTATACTTTCAATTGTACTGCAAATGTTTGCAGGCCTTCTAGAAGGGCTTACGATCAAACAGTTCTTTGTTACCTTCCAATAAGCTTATTTCCAACCTTCTTTTTTTTCTTTAATTTAATAGGTTTTGACAAATCTTGCTATTTCCTACCAACTTCATGTCTTTCATGTCAAAATCCATACTATTATATGGTCTGCATTAGCCAATTTTTTTATAGACACCCTTAGAATAAAATATAGAAACCAAAATATTGTTTATGCAGTGTTATACATGGGGAGATTAGAATGTAAATTAATTTTAGTTTTTATTTGAAGAAGAGATATGGTTATCTTTTTAATAATGTTTTTGGTGACCCAATATGCAAACATAAGTTATGGAAAAGTCAGAAAGCCTATATGTTAAGGAAATGTATGTTTCAGGAGATGATAACTTTACCTTTACCAACATGCTTTAAATTAGCGGTTCTAGCTAGTACTAGTAAAGATAGAACTCAATATTTGGTAGCAGACATTCGACATTGGCTTTTACACAGAGATGCTGAGCAGAATTCTATCTACTTTTCCTTTTAATTTCTAGTGTGTGTTAGACAAAGAAACGTTTCCAATGGTGAATAATGGAAGCATGGGTGGAGAGGAAGCTAATCAAGGCAGTGGCGTGTTCTAGCCATAGTTTTGACGCTTGTGGTCAGAAAACTCTTAATTTAATGTTCGGCAATGGAGAAAGAGAAACAGCTTTCTCATTCCTGTATTGAAATGGTAGCTTCACAGACAGGGTTGATATACCAGAAAGTGGGCGACACGAACATGACAACTACATCAATTATATTATTAAATCTTGTTCTTGATATATTAACAGCTGTGATTATGGTTCATAATTTTTCATGCAGACCACCAAAAAAAAAAAAAAAACTCACCAGAAAATTCCTTGGTTTACATGCTGATTGCAACTAATACCATACACCTGCCAAAAACAAAAGAAATTCACTTGGCAAAGAATTGGGAGAATTGGAAAGTTTTCGTTGTTAGATCAAACTGAAATTTTCTTCCTTTTGCCCATAACCAGGTATAATTCGTATGATTCTGCAGGGAGCAGCTAAACAACTGGGAAGAAATTCACACGATTTTGACCATGCTAAAAGCATCCAAATCACAGAATAGTATATATATATATATATATTTACTCGCATGCAAACTTTCAGATTTTCTCTCTCACCAATCACCACATTGTCACTTTCTAAACCCTGACTTTTCCATTTCAACCCAAAAATTAAAACAGTGAAAAAATGCTTATAAATCACTGTTTCTTTTTTCTTTTCCCTTATTAAAATCTCAAATGAATCCGAAAGGCAACAAATTTAGAAAATATAAAGACCGCCGCTCCTAAAAGCAGGGTAGGCGATCATAAACTTGATAAGAAAATCGCCAACCAAGAAAGAAAGAAAAAGAAAAACATTTTCTTTATACCGTACTATGTATTCATATATATATATATATATATATTCCAAACTCCCACCTCCCACATTGACCTCATCAACTAAGAACCTCTTCATTTGTTTGCCTTTCATTAATTTATGTAAGTAGTCCCAACTCTGATTTATTCTCCTCCTCCTTCGCCTTTGGTTATTTATAAATATAAATTATTATTTATTATTAGTAGGGGAATAATATTTTTCAAGAATTTGTTTGGCAAAACCTCAACTACTCTGAAATAAGCACGACTAATCTCCGAAGCGTTGAAATCGTGCTAAGTGATCGGTTGGGAAGTGTTTGTCTTGTTTTTATTAATAATCCTCTCCCCCAATTGCATCAGAAGAAAAAAAATATACACTAAACAAAAAGAAAAAATAACATAAACATTAGGGAAAAAAATTAGCACCGTTACAGAGTTGTTAAAAGAAAATAAAGAGAGTTCGAAGTTTTGGAGAAAGAGGACGCACAGGATTAATGAAGTCGCCGGCGTCGTTTCACTCGTTTGGAAGGAGCAGTTCGAAGCTTTCAAATTACAGCCGGTCATTTGACTTACCGGATGACCTCGAAGATCTCTCTGCAGATGACTACGGCGTTGGTGGAGCAATGTTGCCGATTTTTCTAAGCGATTTGCAGAGGAATAACCAGCAAGACCTGGTCGAAGTCACGCTTGAGCTCGAGAACGACTCCATTGTGTTTTGCAGCGTGACGCCGAGTACTCCGCCTATTACGGACCAGAAGGAAGCCACCAGCGTAACGGCTTCTTCTGGGATTTTAGGGAGGAGTCTTTCGGCGACGTCGAGGATTCGGAGGAAGTTCGCGTGGTTAAAGTCGGGGTCATCATCGAGAGCTTCATCATCGGCGGAGAATGATCAGGACCGTAGGATTACGGCGCGTGACGAGAGGAGAATCAAGGCTAAGCTTCAACGGACGAAATCGAGTGCTCAACGTGCGTTGAGAGGGCTCAGGTTTATTAGTAAAACGACCGTTGCAAATGACGCAGAAGAAATGTGGAGACGGGTCGAGTCCAGGTTCGAGTCGTTGGCTAAGGACGGGTTGCTTGCTAGAGAAGATTTCGGTGATTGCATAGGTTCCTACTCTCGTACTTTGTTTGGCAACTAAGAAAATAAGGAAGGAAATTTGAATTATTTTTTCTTCTTTTTATCGGACGTAGGGATGGTGGATTCGAAGGAGTTCGCGGTTGGGATATTCGATGCGTTAGCAAGAAGAAGGAGACAGAGAATCGGGAAAATAACAAAAGATGAGCTTCATGATTTCTGGTTACAGATTTCAGACCAGAGTTTTGACGCGCGTCTTCAGATTTTCTTTGACATGTTAGTGCTCTTTCTTACTCCTTTTCTCTCTCAACGGTCTTGACGCTGTTTACTTTTTCTTGGAAGAATGAGTTTTTCTACAAAAGCAACGGCGACCGAGAGTTTGATCTGCGGAAATCCGGCTGAGTGATTTGAATTGATTGGTTGAGAGCAGTAATTTTGCGTAGTTACTTGAGCACCTAATTTTATCCGCTACATAAGAGGCTGATGGCCTATGGCCCGGTTGACGACTTGACGAGGCTGCTAGTAACTTTACGGTTTATGTTTCGCGGGAAGCGGACAAGATCTGATATTTAAGTTTAATTTACTTTAATTTATTAGTATTCTTGTTGATTAATGTGTTGCTGGGTGTTTTTTATTTTTTTGGGCTGCAATTGGATTATTTAGTTGATCAAAATTTTGCAGGGCTGACAGCAACGAGGATGGAAGAGTCACAAGGGAAGAAGTACAGGAGGTAACTTTCATTTTATTTTCTTACTTATGTATCATTATCAAATGATTAGTATTTATTTATTTTTTAATTTGAGTGGACAATCTACCCAAGCACTAATTGGAATTACTCCCAAGAAAATATGATTAATGAACATGTATTATTTATGTTTTATTTGGTATTTTTTATTCTCTGTCGACCTACAATGTCATTATCTAATTTGTTTCTCATTTATTTGATTATTTTTCAAAACACAGCTTATAATGCTTAGTGCTTCAGCCAACAAGCTATCCAAGCTGAAAGAACAAGCTGAAGAATATGCCTCACTGATCATGGAAGAATTGGATCCCGAGAATTTTGGGTACATTGAGGTAATCATAAATGTCAAGTTCAAGTTTTGATTATTTCAGATGTTTAGTTCAAGTTGATTGCAATTACTAATTCATTATCGTTTCACAAATTTATATTCTCGGATAAGAAAATAAAGTAAGACTTATGTGTCAATTTGGGTCCGTTTCAGTTATGGCAGTTGGAAACGCTTCTTCTACAAAGAGACAATTATATGAACTACAGCAGGCCACTTAGCGCCGCAAGTGCTGCCTGGAGTCAGAACATAAGTTCCGCCAGGCCCAAAAACATGCTCCGAAGAGTGTGCTTCGCACTCCGGTGCTTGATGCTAGAAAACTGGCGAAGGGAATGGATTTTGTTGCTTTGGATGATGGCAATGGCTACCCTTTTTGCCTGGAAATTCATGCAATATAAAAACAGGGCAGCATTCCAAGTTATGGGATATTGCTTGTGCACTGCCAAAGGAGCTGCCGAGACTCTCAAGCTCAACATGGCTCTAATTCTTTTACCAGTTTGTCGAAACACTTTGACTTGGCTTCGGTCCACTAAAGCAAGGTTCTTTGTTCCTTTTGATGACAACATCAATTTCCACAAGGTGAGGAGGGGCTATTTAGTGGACTTTGTTAACGCACTCACTAACTTATTTTAACAAATTTTTTCTCCCTCAATTTCACAGATAATTGCCTGTGCTATAGCCATTGGAGTCTTAGTTCATGCAGGAAGCCACTTGTCATGCGATTTTATCCGGCTCACGCGCTCTTCTCCAGAAAAATTTGCTCTCATAGCCTCTGACTTCAGTCATGGCAAAAGACCAACATATTTAGAGCTTTTGACTGGTGTTCTGGGCGTGACGGGGATTTCTATGGTGATTTTCATGGCCATTGCATTTATATTGGCAACAAGTCACTTCCGCAGAAATGTATTGAGACTCCCTGCACCCTTCAACAGATTGACAGGCTTCAATGCATTCTGGTATTCTCATCATCTTCTTGGTCTTGTCTACGTTTTGCTAGTAATCCACGGAACATTCTTGTTCTTGGCCCACAAGTGGTCTCAGAGATCGGTAAGAACTCTAGGATCATAGTTCTATGAGAATGACAGAAAACTACATGCCAAGTCCTAACTATGTTGGCGATGCAGACATGGATGTACATCTCTGTTCCATTGTTGCTTTACATAGGGGAGCGTAGTGTAAGAACGTGTAGATCAGAACATTCTTCAGTAAAAATATTTAAGGTAATATGATTAAGTTCTTTTCTTTACTATTCTATTCAGCTAAACTTTGTCGCAAAATGATATTCATGTTTTCTGAGAGATTCATGTTTTGAGGAAACAAAAAAGAATGCAGTTTTCTTAGCTTCATTTTTGTGAGTTTAGAAGGTTTCTTTAACATCCGCAGGTTTCAGTACTACCAGGAAATGTCTTCAGCATAGTCATGTCAAAGCCACCGGGATTCAAGTATAAAAGTGGGCAGTACATATTCCTACATTGCCCATCAATCTCCCCATTTGAATGGTACGTGTGATTTTGATGGATATCCTGCTTCCTCTAATCTTAATGGCCTTTACATTGCTTGATGTCTTAACTATCAAAATTTTGGAAATTTATTTGTACTTTATTGCGCATTGAACTGACACTAGATTCATTTTTAGGCACCCATTTTCTATTACTTCAGCACCAGGAGATGAGTGTCTCAGCGTTCACATCCGGACGGTAGGAGACTGGACGCAAGAATTGAAACGAGTTTTCACTGATGTTAATGACTCACCATTTGTCATAGGTCGAGCTAGATTTGGTCAGCCTGGACATATTGATCAGAATGGGTAATTACATTAGCAGGAAACGATACTTTCTTACGTTTAAGTTCAATTATTAACTCAACATGTTTTACCGATGCAGTCAACCGAAGTTGCTTGTTGATGGTCCATATGGGGCTTCGGCACAGGACTACAGGAATTATGATGTTTTGCTCCTTGTGGGGCTAGGAATTGGAGCCACCCCTTTTATAAGCATCCTTAGAGATCTTTTAAACAATTCAAGAGCAGAAGATCAAATGGTACAAGCCACTTTCTATAGGACTGTTTTGTGCATAATTTATTAGTATTTTTTGCTTCCACTCAATAATATTTGCGGCTTTGATGGTACAGAGTTCCACCACAGAAATGACTAGATCAGACGACAGCTGGAACAGTCTTGCATCTTCGAATCTCACAGCCAATTCAAGCTCGACTAGCGGTGGAAAGAAGAAGCCACAGAGGACTAGGAATGCTTATTTCTACTGGGTCACGAGGGAACCCGGGTCCTTTGAATGGTTTAAAGGAGTAATGGATGAAGTTGCAGAAATGGATCACAAAGTAATACTACATATATATACTACTTTAGAGCAAATCCAGTGTTTTTTATAATTACAAGAATAAGCTTCCCAAAGCAATGTCTTATTCTTCTCTCTTGTTGTTTCGACTCTCAAAAACAGGGTCAGATTGAGCTGCACAACTACCTTACAAGTGTCTACGAAGAAGGGGATGCAAGATCAACCTTGATTACGATGGTCCAAGCTCTAAACCATGCTAAACATGGGGTTGACATCCTATCAGGCACCCGCGTATGATCTTCATTTCCTACATAACTTAAAAAAAGGATCATAATAATAAGCAAACTCCCAAAAAGTCATTTTCATTATGTATCAGTTTTTAATCATGTTAAAATTCCACAAAAGTTTTTAATAGGAGTACATAATTGAAATGTGCACATATCATTGCCCAATTTGAAAGATAGATTTTCTTTACATCCTCTCTCTCTCCTACCAAACAACCATTTAAAATTCCCAATCATTTGCGTGAGCAATGACTGACCCTTTTGATATCCAATTCGATGATGCAGGTGAGGACACACTTCGCAAGGCCTAACTGGAAAGAAGTTTTCAGCAAAATAGCTTCAAAACATCCTCATGCCACAGTAGGTAAATACATATCTGGCCACAAAAGAGAGGAAAATAAAGTATTAATCAAACCCATAATTATTTGTTGTTTAAGCAAACGACTTGTTTGAAAAAAATAAAAAATGTGGGAGTGGGATATGAGTTAAAGATTCTGCCAACGAGACTGGCTGGCCATAATTGGCTCCCATTCAATTCAACCTACTATGGGTACTTAAAATACAGCCTCACAAGGCTGTACGCAACCAACTAATGACAAAGGGGAAAAAAAAAATTAAAGTGCTTATGTCCTTTCAGCCCAACACACAGCTGTCACGTTTAATTGGATAAACAGAAGAAAACGTAAAAGAAATGAAGATTAGTAAAGTTATCCGAATGTGTATGGAATACTATAATGGTCCACAGCTTAGCCGACCAATCAAGAGAAGCACCCAACTCAATTTCTAACCTTTTGATCTTGTTTTTATGCTATCCATATTAGGACCATCCCTCTGCATTTAGAAAAGGGGAAAAAGATTTGTTTAAGGAAAGCTTTGACAGGAATTGTATCTGATGGTTAAAATTGCAGGAGTGTTCTATTGTGGAATGCCGGTGTTGGCAAAGGAGTTGAAGAAGCTATCACGAGAGCTGAGCCACAAGACATCCACGCGGTTCGAATTCCACAAGGAATATTTCTAAAGATCCTTGCATTTATATGTATATACATAGAAGCCAACCTGCTCCTGTTGTTATTTCTTGTAACTACAAATTCAAAGATATATATATATATTACATGTATTTATACCCAGAGTTGAGATGTAAATGTAAAATATATAGCATTCAAATTGTAAAACTTTTGTCTACTGCAAATTTTGTAATATTTTCTTACATTGTGAAATAGCAATGATCATTAAGGATCAAGAAGAGGTTACAGTTTGTTGCAATTTGTTTGAAATTCTACGGGGGGAAAGGAAAATGGCCATTGCAAAAGACAAAACTACAATGAAGACATTAACAGGATTTGAGGGGTTAATGTTATTAATCGTCTTTTAATCGTTTGAGAAGCCTGGAAGCCCAGCGCCGGACACGTCGCTTGAGTGTGTAACCCACGACGATTCCAGCAGCGAAGCAAATTGCACAGAGTTTTGAACACGTCCACAGCGAGACCGCTTGCCTGCAAATTCCAAACAAAACAAGAAAATGAAAATGAAAATGTTAAAAATTGAAGCATTTCCATCAAAGTTCACGTTGATTGAAATGAACACAAGTTACCTGAGAGGTCTGGTGACTAAAACTCGAGAGGCATCATCAGAGGACAAAGCGGCAGAAGCTCCAGCTCCTCCTCCGCCAAGCTTGTAAGGAATTTCGGGCAAGGAAGTAGGAGATCCTAATTTTGTGTCCTTTGAGAAGGAGCGGACCAAATTCTGCAATCCCTCCATTGCTGACTACCCACAAACCCTAAACCCCTCTTTTGTTTGGTTGTTAATAATGGGAGTATTTCGATTCGACATATCCCGCATTCCGCCTGCCTTCCACAGAGGACTGGACCTTGGACCAAAGTCGAATGATGGGCTCGTCCTCTAGGCCCGATTCAACGCCGTTTACATACATATGTTGCCCAGTGTAGAAAAAAGTGTGGAGATTTTATACAAAACATAAAATACCATTCACCCTATAATAATAAAATACCATGTCTTTATTCAATCAAATCGTGAAAATTACAATGAAAAATTAATCAAAGTACAAAGACGTAAGAGAAATTACAATGGTTGACGTAGAAAGAAGTAAAGAAATGGGTGGTCAAGAAGGGCGGGTGAGGCTTAGGCCTATAACTATGTAATAAGGGTCGTACGAGGGGTGAGGGCTGGGGACAGGCGGACAGCAATTGGCCACGCAGTGCAAATCTACTGTCATCCATCTTCTCCTCCCATACCCCTCTCTGATCCAATAGCCACCCAGGCACCAACAGCCTCTTATCTGTCTCTCCAAAAATATAAAATGCAAAACCAAGCAACGGCCGAAGTACACTTTGCTCTTATTACCAGCGCACTTCCCCTTTCATCTTAACCAAAACAATGGCTACATCTCTCACTCTTCCAAACCGTACTCTCGCTTCTCTACTCCCTTCTCACACTCCCAAAACTCAGTCTTCTGTTTCTCAATCTCTCCCACTTGTCTCCAAATCCTCGCAGTCTCAGTTTTATGGCCTTAAGTTCTCTTACTCTTCTTCTCTTTCAATCCCTTCTTCTTCCTCTTTCAAGACCTCCATTTCTGCCAAGGTACATTGTTTTACCTTGTGTGTTTATTGGCTTACTGTTATGGGTGATTTACTTATGACTCTGGGGTTTTGCAGGTGAACAAAGGTTCAGCACCTCCATCATTCACATTGAAAGATCAGGATGGGAAAAATGTGAGCCTTTCCAAGTTTAAAGGAAAGCCTGTGGTTGTCTATTTCTACCCTGCTGATGAGACCCCTGGCTGCACCAAGCAGGTGACTGTTATAAAGTCTTTGTTACATTTATCTTTAATTTTTATTTTAATTTTTATTTTTATTTTTAGCTGTTGTGGAAGCCAATTAAGACAGGAGATAATAGAAAGTTGGTAGCCTTGATTTCTGTAATGAAATCTTACCTTTACACCTGCAATCACCCTTTGTTTCTTAAATTGTTGAATTCCTTTACTTTGGGTTGTAGCAAACTTGCAACAAAATTTAGTTGCCCCATTTTGGGTGGCATTCATGTGATTAAATGGTTGTGAATTTTCAATTTTGTTAATCATAAGTGATGCAAGCCCCAAGGATTGATGGAAATTAATACTTTTGCAGGCATGTGCTTTCCGAGATTCTTATGAAAAGTTTAAGAAAGCAGGAGCTGAAGTTGTTGGGATAAGTGGTGATGACACATCATCACACAAGGTAAAACATAAACATTTTGCTGTAGAATACATTTGACCTTGAAGCTTTTAACGTTGATGGCCTTCCACTTTTAGCATTCTCCGGAGGTTATGAGCAGAATATATATATATGTATATGAACTCCTTTCAGATTTTCTTGAGGAAACGAATTCCTCTTACTCTGGAAGCTAAATCTTCATTGCGTGTGATAATTAGAAATTCTATTGTCCATGTAAATCCCCTCGGTGCTTATTCTTGATTGTGAGTAATAATAATTCTGTACAGGATACTTATTCATGTCTTGTTGTCTCCAACAGTCTGTATGGAAATTAAAATAGGCGATCAGCTGGATATGCTGAAAATGCTTAGTAGATAATACTTAGATATCATTCTCATTTTCATATGGCATTTTTATCATTGATGAAAAATGAACTCTTGGGTTCTTGTAAGATTTGTGCATTTACAATTATGCTATGATACAATCTTGCCGCTGTCTAGGAGTGGCCATGTCCTTCATCACACCCAGGGATTATAGGTTTGACCTGTCAATTAATGTCATCCTAATTGCTTTAACTTGACAACAATTTTTTAATTGATCAGGCATTTGCCAAGAAATACAGACTTCCATTTACATTGCTGAGTGATGAGGGCAACAAGGTGAGGCAAGAGTGGGGAGTGCCATCAGATCTGTTTGGAGCATTGCCTGGGAGACAAACCTATGTTCTTGACAGGAATGGGGTGGTTCAACTCATCTACAACAACCAGTTTCAGCCCGAGAAGCATATAGATGAAACCTTAAAACTACTTCAAAGTTTGTAAACGTCTCTAGAAATTCTTTTTGTTCTCTCCTCCATCTAACACTTGCATATCTGTTCTTGGAGTTAGACAAGTGTTTGCTTTTGTATGATTCAAGCTCCTCTGTTTTAATTGCTATGGCTGTAAGCTGGATTTGGACCTACATTATAAGTAAACCAGCTGATCATTTCTGTTCTAGGAAATTGAGGTACCCTTGTCCCCTGGATTTACAAGGTATGAGAATTTTTATGTCAATTCTGTGTTCAATTACCAACATAATTTGATATTGTTAAGTCTAATAGGAAATCTAGCATGAATGCCTCATCTCTGGCATAGAAACAATTGTTTTTGGCCTTCTGAGAACACTACTCACAACCCCATTAGCCCTCACTCAGCTTCTACAAAAGATAAATCTTGGCATAAGGAATTGAATTGAGCTATTAGTTCTGTCATAAGGTGAATGTATTCAGTTTCTGTACTAAAAATGGGATACCCAACATCCCACATCTGATGTGAATGTGATTATTAAGATTTATATAACAATTCAAGTCTACTACTACTAGTAACTTGAGTTTAAGTTTTTGAGAGCTACGTGACCAGTGGTTGGACTTGTACCGTTACAAATGGTATTAGAGCCTGCGCCGCGCCAGTTCAATGTGAGCTTTCACATTATTCTAGTGAGATCTTGGATCTGTGGATCTAATGTGTGGCCTTGATGAAGACATCAAGAATTTGAGTGGATGGGATTGTGCTACCCAGCATCCCGATATGTGGCCTTGATGTGTGTCCGATGTGAGCTTTCACATTGCTCTGGTGAGGTTTTGGATCTGTATGAGGATGTGAGCTCTGGTGAGATGTGTGTGAGATTTTGGATCTGAGATGTGTGGCTTTGATGTCCTCATAGTGATATTTATTCAACATCCTACATCTGATATGAATGTGATTGTTAATTAAATGAAGGAAAGATGAGAGATTTTGTCTTCTCATTGACTTTTGTACAATTTTTATAATAAGATCTAAAACTTTATATATTGCACACATAGTAAGAATATGTTTCTTCACTTATTTTTTTTTTTCAGTGTGATATAGAAAAACACAAGAAAATATCTAAATCCTAATAAGAACAATGAATGAGTTTCTATGGTTACTTAATACTTCTCTTGACTTATTGTCCTAATAAGGACAATGAATAACTTTATATGATTACTTATACTTTTTCTCACTTATTATTATTTTTTTCTTTTCAGACTAGCATATTCATAAGTTAACCCCTTATTAGGGAAGAATGAATGATATGACCACATGATTTTTAGTTTTCCTGTCCATAATCCTGGCTACCGTAAGGGCTAAATGCTTCTGATAACCAGCTCTTCTTCCTCCAAGAGTTCCATCCCATTTCTTCACACATTTCATCACTGTGGTTGATGCTAAAAGTGGAAATGCAGTGCCTTTTGTAAAACCTGGTTGTCCTCCTCATGACCTCCATCTCTCTAGATATTTGTCCAAGCATATTTTCAACACTTGGGAGCTTAAATTTTTCATCGACTAGTCGAGCAAGCCACATGCTACGCAGCTCTGACGTGTGAAGGTTTGAAACACTTTCGATGTAACCCACAAAAGCCATATTCGGTACCAATGGGTGGATTGTTCCCCTGGAAAAGGAATTAAGATGAGGCACGTTAGTCTAAACAATGTTTGTTTATGTTATTTTTGGTGAAACGCAGTTCTGGTGCAATGTGCTTGAATAATTACCTATACAAGGGCATGATCCCAGAAGGATATTCTATCAGACTACGGAAAGGCTCTGGTAAAATAGATTTGAGTTTCTTCTTGCCATCATAACCAGTTGCAAGAATTACAACATCGGCGTCCACTTTAGTATTGTCATCAAACTCAATTCCTTCTTTCCAGAACCACCATTTTGATGCTCTTTTGATAACAATATTGCCCTTATCAGCCTCGGTGAAGAAATTTTCTGGCATGATGGCCATCTGACAAGATGCGTAATCTTCCTCAAACGGGTGGTCTGGTTTCAATCCATATTTCTGTAATGGAAGTTTCCAAAGCAAGTAGGACTCGATGAACTTTGAAACTCCTCGCCTCTGTCAAGAACATCACTATATACAGCTTAGCACTAAACATTTAAAAAAGAAAAAGAAAAAGAAAAAGTTGTCTTAATAAGGGCTTTAAGAAATTATTGTGTTGACTCACCATGGGAGATAACAGGTAGCAAAGGAGGGTCCCGAGGATGCTTTGGTTAGGCCTTTCATGGAGGAACTGAGAAGCCCTTGTGGAATAGAACAGGAAGAAAGGCAAACCCCAGACCCAATAATGGGGAACAGTCCAGTGAAGTGTCCTTACCACCATGGTGCATGCTTGCCCTTCTGGCCCTTTATTTAAATCATCATTAGCAAAAATTACCACAATTATGATTAATTATATAAGCATATAATAATAAATCTGAATATTTTCTCGATTTCCTTTTCCCATATCTCTCAAAAGTCAAAATCACCTAACGAAACCCTAAGTTATTTGTCATGTGAAATGTACGCATGTGGCCAATGAAGGAACTTCAAAATTTCCAAGATAAGCCAAGGACGAATTGAACATGTCCTTTTTCTTCATTTCCTTCGTCCACGTTCTCATTCCTCAAAGTCCAAATTCTAATAGTGGAATTCTAAAGTTATGATTTAGAATCGTTGAAAAACATTTTTAGTCAAATGAAGTTCTAACGTCCAAACGTACATGGGATGCTCTTGTTGGTCATGCGTATGACACTTTGACCACTCCAATTTTTTTTTTTAAACCAAAACAAAATCCATGCAAATTCAACCTTCCCAACGTGGAAAATCACGGCCCCTACCTGCCCCATAACTTACTGAAATTGGATCTATATACATAGGCCACATGCAGTATCCTTGGACTAGCGTGCATCATACAAAAATATTCCATATATAAGAGACGGTTCAATTTTGATATATTCCTTCACATTATAATCACATGATAAGTAATTCAATATGCCATTCAAAGGGAAAAAGGTTGGTAGGTGGTGTTTGATCTGGAAATTTCTGTCTCTAACTAACAAGAAGTAATAATTTCATCACAAAAATTGTAGAAAATATTTCATAAATCACTTGATAAACTGATCCTCCCAAAGCAATGCACAATGCTTGATGCATCTGAAATTATGAATTACTTCTAATTTGGTTGCATTAGTTAACAAAATTATTAATTCTAAGTTCCGATTAATAGGCATAGTCAAGCTTAAGTAATTTCAAGCGATTACCTTGATTTGCTTCCGCGCACTCCACAGCTAAATCAATGGCTGATTTTTTGTAGCCAACAACGACAACCTTCTTTCCTTTAAGTAGCTGAGAAGTGGCTTCCTTGTCCAGCTTGCAGTAATCAATGGAGTGAAGGACCTTTCCCTGAAACATCTCAGGGCCTTTGTCGGATGGGAAACTTGGAATTTTGGGTATGTCCCCATATTTTCCGATGCAAACAACGAGAAATTCAAAGGCATACCACTGAAAAAGCAAAAACAGTACACGTGTAAATCAGCATGCACCTACCAAAATATGGATAGTATCATGCCCTACTACTCTTATACTGCAATAATCTTTTAGGACGAATTAGTGAGTCATAATCCTTAAAAAGAATAGCCTTTTTTGACGGAATTTATTTGATTCCTTAAATGCAAGGATATAGGAGGGCTTGACTATCAAACTTCCAGCACCATGAAAGCTGAAGACCATTATGTAGTTATCTTGGACTTTGATCGAGGAATATTTTATGTTAGGTATGAAACTTGAATTTTTCATTCCCTCTTTTTCATTATCCTCCTTCTGCTCTTCTCGCCAAAGGGGTAATAATTTTCTTTACTGAGACTGAAATAATGCATGTTAAAGGCCAATTACCAATTAGCTTTCTTCTTCTTCTTCTTCTTTTTGATCTGTTGCTATTAGCCAGGCTAGTTCAGGTAGTATGTCTTTTGGTAACCATTTTAATCAGAGGATATAAGCCCATATTCGAGAAAAGAAGAAAAACAGGAAGATTAAAAGCAACAACCTTAAGGTTTTCTGAATCATTAGTTTGCACAGCAATCTCCCAAACAGGATGGCCTGGCAATATTGGACTTCCATGCTCCCCAGCTTTTCCTGTCAGCTCAATTGTTTCCCGGTCACCAACAAAGCGGACCTCCACCACCTTTGAATTGAACTTGACAAATTTCAACACATCAAAGTGCTTAGCATATGATTCCAAGTAATCCAATATCTCAACATGAGAAGGGAAACTTGGGTCATCACGGTTAGGCCATTGAAAATCCGAGAACTCGTAATCCTTACGAGAAGATTGTAGTCTAGTAGAATTATAGGAACAACTTTTCCAGACCCCTCCTATGGAATCCGAGGCCTCGAAAACAACTGGGTTATGGTGAGAGAGCTGTTTAGCAGCCGCGATGCCGCTAACACCAGCTCCAATGATGGCAATCTTGGAGACCAAAGGAGGGCTTTCCTGGTGATGAGCCATTTTGGGTTATATGATCTTTGAGAATTAAGGTGGCTAGAGAAATGAAAGCAAGCGAGGGTTTGGAACTTGAAGGTAAACAATGGCTCTGCAAGGTGATAAAAAAGCTCAGAATTTGCATGTATTTATAGTTGCATGACGGAAGTCATGTTGAAAGCACGTGTAGTGGACTTGAAGATAGATAGAGTTTGGTATACAAAGAGAAAGGAAGGGAAGACCATTTCCTTTCTTGTAATATTATACACGTAATGTGAAATTGGTTCGTTATAGAAGGGAACTTTCGCTATGTATGGGATTGATTCATTCATTTCCTTCACCTAAAGGTTGTTGTTAAATTTCTATGCATCTTCAAACCCTAATATAAACTATTTATTCCTTCATAAACATTTCATGTAAACAATATTACTAATTGTAATACTAGTTGCCAATTTCCTTCCTAATATTTCTTCCGAGAAACAGCTTAATCATATAGAATATATCTCTCTCTTTCTCGTGAAGAAATTGAACATGCAAATTCTTTCCTTTTTGGACGACAACTAACATTTAAGTTTTTTAGGAAGATATATTGCTCCTATCCATGAATCTTGTGCTTAATTTTTGCAGACTTTTGATTGGTTTTTTACCTTTTTTATATATAAAAGATGAAAAAAAAAGAAAAAAAAATATAAAGAAGAGTGTTTAAATCAAGCACAATTAAATAACTTTTAATTCATCCTTGAAAAGTAAAA